CTCTTGCCTAACCCTGGTCACATTCCTTCAGATGCCCCAGACCTCTTTTTCACATGTGTAAGAGGGTTGCTAGCATTTTTCATACTCCTAAGGTTACAGAATGAAATCAGTGGTGTTGGCATGCTTAGATCCCCATCTTAAAGATGCTGAATTCACAGGATTAGCTCTCATACATTGGGAAAAGGGTTTGAGTGGTGCTAGGTTCAGTGGGAGATTGCTGCAGTTACTCCTGCTTGCACTGCACGTGGCAGAGCTACTTCAGTGCCTCCGTTCAGCCTCAGCATCTCCATGCCACGCTGACTTCGTGAGCACTGGCTCTCTGAAACCCTTCAGCCATACGCTCCAAGTTATGACTGCAAGAGGGCAGTTAATAACCCGTTTTAGAGCCATGGCTGCCCTGCAACTGCAGGGACAGGGGTCACCTCCAAGTGCTATGTGTCAAAGAGGATGGCACGGAGGCTCCTGTTACCAGCACAGTGCTATACTAGCTGTGCCCTGGCCACATCTGCAGGGCTGGAGGAGCCGAGGGATCCAGATTTCCTCCACACCCCTTCATGAGCCCAAATTTGCTCCCAGCAGCTGCAGTCCCCCCTCCAACCTTTTCTGCTGTGCCAGCCCCATTGGTGCAACTGCTCCTGTCCCATTCCGCATCTCTGGCTCGTGACACTGAATGCAACATTCCCAATTTGTGTTTGGCTGGGTGATCCGTGCTTGTTCAGCTCTGCTGTGGGTTTGAGAGAGCACAGAGGTGAAAAAAACAGTGTGGCAACGGGAAATGCGAACACAGGGCAATTGTTGGGCTGGCTAATGTTTAAACAGCTCTTGGAAAGCCCCCTCCCTTGCTGCTTGCCCTCTCTACCCCTTTTAACAAGGGGACCCTTTCAACTCTTTGGCAGCTTCCCCATCCTCCAGCTTCTGCTGCCCATTTCAAATCTCCAAAGGCAGGAGGAGGAGGAATAGCGGTGCTGTGACTTTAAAATGCTTGCTTGCCCACTACGTCCTCCCACGATGGACCATGCTTTTTCCCAGCCAGCCTTCCAAATCACCTTACTTAGAAAGAGGAATTTGTTAGAGCATGGTCAGTGCCCAGATAACAATGGGTTGTGGGGAAAACTGGAAAAATAATAACCCACCCTCACACCATTCTTGTCATGTGCACTCGTTGCTCCCCATCCAGCCCTTGTAGCTAGTGACTGCAGGAGAAATGACCTTCACAGTGCAGCTGCACAGGTCAGTTTCCAGCACATGGCCAAGAGGTCGCATCTGGTGGTCTCAGAGAGATGGAGATCTTGCTGACGTTCTCCTTGCAAACCTCAGCACAAGGAAGAAGATGAGAGGAGAGGAGGGGCTGTCTCCTGGGGTTGTTGCATTTCTTGTGAGATTTCCAGCAGCCTCAGAGCATCTCAGACTAGGAATGGGGCAAGGGTGGGTTAACCCCATCCCTTTCCATTGTTGCTGCAGCTTCTGGCACAGAACCCATCTGTCTTCCCTCTCAGACCAGCCTCTCTTAAGGTGCTGCCCATCTTCTTTTCATCACAAGGGTGTGATGGAAAGAGTAAGTCCAGGCTGGAAAGGGATGAAATATTTCCATGATGACTCACCTCCACACGGCCACAAAACCTCATACAGGACAAATAACTCATCTGGGGCCCCTTCCTCCCTCCCCCTCCCTGTAAAACTCAATTAGAGCAAAGAAGGTAGAGGAGAAAAACTGTTTTACTGAACCTTAGCATCAGCATTTCTTTTCAGCTTCTCTGCTTTGTGTCTGTAATAATTGCTAGGGTGTAATGGGTGAAAACTGGAGCTTGATTGCAGAGAGGGAGATGCTGATGTGACAATGTGTTTGAAGGGAGCAGTGGAGCATGAGGCCATAAACCTGTCAGGAGGTCACCGAAGGGGCTGCTCTGAGGAATGAGAGCTCTGCTGGAGGTTTATCACTGTGGTCCGAAGGTTTGTAACCTCTGGGGATGCTCTGAGCTGGGCAGAACAGAGCCTTACTGGCTCATTTTATGCTAAAAGTTGCTTAGCCCTGGATAAAGGATAGCCTGGGAGAAGGCCTGGGGGCAAGGAGAAACGTCATAGAATCACAGAAACATTTAGGTTGAAAACGACCCCCAAGGTCACCAAGTCCATACCTGACACTACCCAGTCCACCACCAACCCATGGCCCTCAGCGCCACATCCAAAATGTTTGCATCTGTAATGGAAGTCCTTGCAAACCATATGGTGCTCCTCCTTCCTCCCTGTCCAAAAACAAACGTGCTTCCATCTTTTCCATGCCATGGCCTTTTTCTGGCTGAGTATCCAGGAGTCTCCGGTATGGCAATCTCAGGAAACTCTCAGGAATGGAAATTGCAGTAGAAGAAATCCAATCCCTTTACCCCCCTGCTCCCCATCCCCTGTCCTGATAGAGCTTCTTTTATCATGAAATATGCAGAAAATTGTTGGGTTCTAATGATCTGAACTCCTTCAGTCAAGACAGGACTCAGCTTGCAAAGAATGTGAATAATTTATGTGTAGATAATAATGAGAGAGCGCATGAGGAGAAAGGAGTTTGTCTTTCATTCTCCTCAGTGCTGTTCCTGAGGTGATGTTGTACTCAAATAGCAGTTCCTGATTATCCCAGCTAGTCTGACTTGTGTGGGGACCTTCCTTGGATGTAGTACTTGTAGTAAGCAGAGCCTCCTTTTCTGCTTTAATGCAGTCCGCTGTGGATGCAATTGCTAACTGGGGGGGAATACTTTTCACCTCCAATTAACCGTAGATCTGTGTTCCCTGGCATCCTTGCATACCCTGTTTTCCCTATAGGCAAGTCTCCAGAACCAGTGTAGAAATGCACTTTCCAGTCCAAACCCAAACCTTGCAAATGCAGTGAGTCATTCCAAGAAACTCACTGTGCTGGCATAAGCCAGAAGCGCTGACATGTTTTTTTGAGGAGTCCTAGCAAGGGTAAATACATAGCTTGTGAAAAAAAAAGGGCCATTTCAATAGGTTTAATGTATGAAATATCAGGAGATGAATTCTTCACTTCATCCACAGGTTGGTTTTAATTCCCTTGTTCCAACTTTGCTGTCAGTTGGATCGTTTGAAACAAAACAAAACAAAACACAAGGCCACAAGGCTTTTTCTCCTCCTAGTCCTCAACATCTGGCCTTAGCAGAGGTTTGCTCAGATCGGGTTGGGTGGGAGTGAGGCTGATGTACTGCTCCTGCTTCAGATTTCCCCTTAAGGCAGTCTCAGATGAGTGGCAAAAGCATCTAAGACTCTTAAGGGTTAAGTCTTAACTCATTGAAGGAGGGTGGAAAGGGTCTCACGCTGGTTGCCTTGACTTCTGCCCTAGGTGTAGGATAGACACTGCAGCAGGACTATGCAGGATAAACATGGACAACATGCTCATGGATAATGTGCCTTTAATTACTATTAATTACTTAATTGTGCTCTCCATGGCTCTGCTTAAGACAACCACATTAATTGCTCATGAACAAGCTCTGGACGCATGTAAGCTATAATGGAGGCAGAAGATCATTTAAATCCCATCCCTTGCAAGTCTGACCTCAAGGCTCTCCCTTTTGTCCACCTCTTGACTAGCCAAAGCTGATGGAGCTTCTGCTGAAATGCTCCAGGGTTTCTCATTTTCCAGTTTTTGAGTGGACCTGATGGTGCAAGGTCTCGCTTTGGGGCAGCAGAGCAACAGGACAGCCAAGAGGAGCTGGGAGGTGTTTAATTCCATTCACAAGGGTTGTTGCACCAACATGGTTGGACTAGATGATCTCAGAGGTCTTTTCCAAACCTAACAATGCTATGATTCTGTGATCCAAAATAGAGGCATGTCTGAATCAGTCTGATGGTTCTCCTACCCCAATAAATTTTGCTCTATTAAAAGAAAACAAAGGTAGAAACAATCTGGGAAAGCTGACAGTTTCCATCCCAGCCTTTCTCCCCTGCTCCTCTCTCTTCTCACCACCTCTGTATCTGCACAATGGGCAGGAGGGAGGTGAAGATCTGGCAGGGGATGTGTGTGTGTGTGTGTGTGTGTGTGCCACACTTGTTGCACAGCCGGTATGCAGACACAATGCTCAGTAGATGGTATTCTGCTAATATTGACTTAAACACCCCCTATTACAAACAAAGCTCCTTCCTAGGAAAATACATGGCTGGGAGAGGGAGAGGTGGGCCTCCCTGAGCTTACCTCTGCTCCAAAAGCACATCAGGCAGTAATTAATCTCTTGAGGGTATGTGCTGATATATAATTATGCGTAGTGAAAAGGTCTAGCAATGCAGTTTGCAATCAATTATCACAGTGTATCAGTCACGTAGACCGGATCATCTCACAACCTGGCTGCCAGTGATTTCAAATCCGAATATTGAAGGTAATCTAAATTTAAGGTAAAATCTAAATCTTGTAATGTAATTTCCAGCGTTTCAAGTGCTTTCATGCTCCGTTCCTGTTTTAACACCTCCAGCAAGATCCTCTCCTGTAAAGCTCTGAAGGTTGATTCACGGAACAAAAACTTCCCAGAAGTACTCTGGGTACAATGCAATGCTGACGCAGGGTGCTGTGTTCTCTGGGCAGTGCAGAGAATTCATATATCCTTGGCCATGAGGAACTGATGTGACTCTGCATGAATCCACCATCCTGTGCAGCAATCCCTGCTTTCACAGCAGTCTGCTGCTTCCCTCCTCATATGAGTGATTCCAGCTCATCTACATTATTGCCACTCTAGGTTGTTCTATTGGGAACTTGGTGATATTTGATGGGTAAGCAAAAGCCCTGCATTTTGGGGGAGCTTTTCCCCAAAAGGCCCCACCTCTGTGTGACATCAGAAGGAAAGAGGAACTGAGATTGCAGATGAAAAGAAGCTGGAGCTTAGCATTAAATGAAAGCAACCCAAAAATGTAACCCGTGAGTTTTGTGCCAGTCTCTGGATTTTGAAACAGCCTGGCTCGTTGGATTTATTTCTATTTTTTATTTCTATTTTTATTTTTAAATGTGAGCATTTAAAGAAGCCCCTTCCGCCTGCACACTCTTGGAGCAGTCACAGCGTTATCTTTACAGAAATATTGAACCTCTTAGCTGTTTTGCAAGCTGTCCATCTGTGCCCACGTGTTGTGTAGAGATGTGGCATCCCAGCACTCTGCAAGCGTCTGCATCCCTTTGGATGTGGCAAGTTGCTTCTGGTCCCTGGCACAAAGCGTTCCTGCAGTCAGCGTGGATTAGGCCGTCTGGCTGGAGGATGTGGGAGGCTGTAAATCTCTGGGAGATTAATTCTGCCTGTTAGGATTGACTTTTAACAGTCATTTCTGCAAAAGTTGCATGTGAAAGCTTTCCTCATGTCATACGTGAGTAACGAAGTCATATGGAGAAAATAGAGGAAGGCTGCAGTGACCAGAGCCTTGAGGGCTGAGGTTTTCCACCCACAGCAAAACAAAATCTCAGCACTCATAAAGCTCAAGTCTGCTCCCTATTCTGAATCACCTTGCTTCCAAATGCAGAAATGCATCACAGGACTGTGCCTATAATAAGTAACTGTGGCTGTCCATAGGATGGGAAGGAGAGCCAGGAAACTCCAAAAAAGCCAAGTTAATACTGGAGAATCAGACATCACAGCTGGAGGTAAATTGTTCTCCTTTTCCAAGAAAAAAAGGAGTCCAAGCCCTCAGATGTCCTTAAAACAGAGGGTAAGAGGTTGGTTGGAAATCCATCTTAGAAGTGGGTCTGGTAACAGACTGCTCTTTTTTTTTTTTTTTTTTTTCTAAAGACATCAGACATCAGCTTGATGTTGGTAAAAGAAGAGTAATTTGACGTGAGCTATGAAGTGCCCCAGCATTCATGGACATGTTCAGGTCTGATGACTGGGAGCTCAAACTCCAGCCAGCACTGTTGCCTGGATGATTCCTCAGTTAATGAGCCTTAACACATGGTCATGGCTCTTCGATTCCAGTGTCAAGAGGAGTCCAAGGCCTCCCATAGCAGGAACAACTCACTGCTTGGAGCAGAGGGGTAGCCCAGCCTCCTCTCACAGCCCTGCTCATGAGCCTGATTCCACTGCTCAGGTCTTCCCTTGATGGCAAGGCTTTGGGCACCATCCCTGGCAGGCCTCATTCCCTGTAAGCTGGAGAGTGAGCATCCTCATTGAATGCCCATGCTGCATGGCTGTGTGCAGGGTTGTGGTTATGTGTGGCTTGTTCTGAGGAGCCACTGCCCTATTGGGAAAGGTGGAAGGAGGCTTCTGCCCAGGCTAGAGCTGCCAACACATATTAATGAGCACAGCCCATCAGCGCTTTGGGACAAACTCCAGCCCCCTATTATCTGCTGCCTGAGGGCTGTGTAGATGCAGGAATCATGACTCTGGTGGGAAATCAAAGGTCTCTGCCTGATAGCCTTGGCTCACACTTCGTATGGTGTGATCCCCACATTCAGCAACCCCTCTGCCTCTTCAGCTCCTAAACTGGGACTGGAAGAGGAAAGAGAAGGCCTGGCTAGGCATCAAAACAAAGATAACTGTCTTGGTTGCAGGGAAATGCCCTCTCCCTATCCTTAGCACATGGTCCAGCCCCGGGGGGGGTACAGCTCTAAATATAGATAGGTTTTCAAGGTGTGCAAGAGACGGCTGGACGGGAGCAGTAGCATCTTCTTAGGGCAGAGAGAAACCGCTGGGTCTTTCTCTACCCTGTGCACCATTTGCTCTCACACTCCCTGGAGACCCGCTGCATCCTCCAGCAACTTGGCCTTATCCCAGGACAAGTTCTTGGGGCACAGAAAGCATGGGGCTGGGTTCCAGCATCATTGAGCTCATCTGGACTGGCTCAGGGAAAGAGAAAGCCCTTCCTGCCAGCCTGCACCCCTCCCCAGAGGAATGCAAGCTATGCAGGGACCGGGGGTCACTGAAATCAGGTGCAGCAAAGCAAGTAAAAGGGAAAGAAAATGTCAATAAATCAGGTTGTTGGAAAAGGAGGAGGGCACAAGTGTGCAGAGCTGCTGGAGGATGGTGCAACACAGCCTTCCCAGAGGGAAGTGGCACAGGAGCATTAACCTGGGCAGAGGTTGTCTCTCAGCCTTGTCTACTTCCAACTAGACAAAGTCAGTGCATTCAAAGACCTTAACATCTTTTTCATATTCCAGAGCACAGAAAAAAAAAAGAAGTTACAAATACATAGAAAAATACATAGAAATCATTTTTTAAACTGGTTTTTTTTTTTTTTTCTGTTTAGACAGGAAACCTCCCCCAGGCTTGAATCTGCGTTGTGCAAGCATTCATTCCTGCAGCTCCAGTTCTGTGTGTAAGCCTACAAAACTGTGGCTTAGGGGAGACAGATGGACATCTTGACGACTCATCTGGTCAGATTGACCTGCTCTCCCCCTTTCTTGAGCCCTCCAGGTGAAAACATGAATTCAGATGCATGTTTTTGTGACAGAAAAATAGGCAGCTATACTTGATTATCCAGAATAGGCCCTTGGTGAAGTGAAATACATGTCGGTCTACATCCATTCTGTGTAAGCAGGCAGAGCTATAATAAACCCACAGCAGATGCTGTGGGTCTCATCCCACCTGGTATGGTCAGAGCTGATGTACTCAGGATGCTACTGATACGATTCCAATCTCCATAGCAAAATGCTAAGAACCCAGCTCCAGTGCAAACTGAGAAACAAAATGTTAGCCAGCTCAACTGTGGAGAAACAGATGGAAAATGCAACCCTAGGTGCCTCCAAAAATAAAGGCTGAAATATATAGACTCATGGCTCTTAGCTTCATCTCTTAAGATGCAAGGCTTGTGCAGCGTGGTTTAAAGGGTATCACAGCCAATCCAGCAACCCCACTCCAAGAAACCTTTGAACCCTTTGGCCAATCACCCTTAGCTTTGGCAGAGGAGTTGAAATCTTGCTGACACAAAGCGCCTACAAGCTTTGTGAAAATAGGTGACTCGCCTGAGAAGAAAGAAAGCCACTATAAATATCCTGAGTGAGGGAAGAACTCATCACTCACTCAGCTCATAACATACCTAGGAGAATGCTGTTATAAAAACCCCTGCCACAAAGACGGCTCCAAGCATGAATCACTCCTTACCAGATAACAACAATTCCGACTGCGGTGGCAAAATCCATGAGGACCCGGAGAGCCTTTGTGTGTCTGCAGGACCTTTGGTTGGGAAGGGGGCATCCATCCCTTTGGGAAGCATCTCCGGGGGACAGAGGGCTTTCTGTCTGAAAAGAGATAACATCTCCCTTTGAGGCAGCTGACCTTACTCACAAGGGCTTCTACTTGTAAAAGCCTGAAGAGTAGCACCTCCTTAAGCCTACCTGCCTTCGATAGCCTCAAGGGAAATGGCTTTAGGATGTGTGAAATGGAAGAGAGAGGAATGGATATCACAAATGTGCTGAGCTTTGCCTCTGAGCTTTTGCAAGAGGTTAAACAAAACACCCTGAGCACTGTGAGCACTTTGCATGTGATAATCCAGCGGACCAAAGAAGTGAACATTTTATACCACTTTATGGTGAATACAGTGAAATTAACCAAGGTATGCCAATTTGGACAAGAGAAAAATGATGGCTAAAAACCCAAGTGTCAAAGTTGTGGGGGTGAAACTATCTGCCAGTTTTCCACTATCTGGGGTCCCAGAGGGGCCGGGCACTGAATGCTGAGATAAAGCAGATGCCAAGAATAACCTAAATGCTCTAGATAACCCCTGCCATGGGGTATGGCACACATCCATCCATCACTGAATTGAAGCCACAGAGCCTGTCAGGGCCTGCCTTGAGTTTTCACATGCTGTGCAACAACCCTGCCTTAAGGATCCCAGGGCTGCTAAGGTTTTTGAATGTGTCACAGGACAACGTATGGCAGGGTGACCAGGTCTGAGACTGTTGACTTGTGCTGGAGGGCTCTGTTGAAGTGACTGAGTTCAACCTGGAGGCAATCACAGCAAGCTTTGGGTGAAACAGATTCAGACCAGCAATGCACATGGGAAAAGTGCCAAGGGAAGGAGCTGGCAGTGACAAAGCTGATTGCAGCATAGTGGGTCACCAGTGCTGTGTAAGGCCATGGGGAGGTGTCCATACCTCCACCAGTCCTCCAGGGCCTGTGATCAGGAGTGTGATACACACTGAACCTCCAAAGCCCTGCTTTTAAAAGCTGTGAGGTCATACATAGGCTGTGGGGAGGGGGGTTCTTATGAATTTGTGGAATTCACATCTCACAAGAAAAAAAACATGGGTCACAAAAAGCTCAGTGGCTTATTTTCAGTCTCTCCTCATCCACACCTCAAGCAATGGTGCCAGGTCTTTTATTGTAGGTAGAACTGATATTGAGGGATTTTCTGGGCCTTCTCTGGTATTCAGCTCCTCCTTATTCTCTTATCTTTTCTCTCACTTCTCCAAAATCCTTTGAGTGCTGTCTTCAAGGCATCTCTAAAGTATGAGCCCACATTCACTAAAAGGTCAAAGTGTACCCCAGCATAATCTTAGTAGCTAATGGCTACAGCCAAAGCAGAATGCCTGCATCTCCCTTCCCCAGGAATTCCTGAGGGCAGAGCCCTGGGAAAGGAGAGCAGCTCTGATAACACAGGATGGAAAGGGACAAAATGGATCAGAAGCATATTTTCTTGGTGTGTGCTCTTTCTCGTCTCTGAGAGGCATTTCTTGCACACATGTTGCACAACAGACACCCACAGCACAGCTCAGGAGCCTAAGCCAGCCAGCTCTGTCTCAGTCATCACACTTTTTTGCCAAAAGCAACAGCTTCCAGCACTGGAAGATCAAATTTGGTCGTCCTTCTAAATCAGCTTGACAGCATTCAGTTTTAAGCAGTTCACAAGTTAGCATTTTAGACGCATTTTCAAATGTCATCCCTCATCACTCAGTACTCAGATGGTGGACTTCTCAGAGCCTGGCCCTGAAAACCTTGTGAGATCCCAGCATCCTGCTCCACCAGTAAGTTCCAGTACTGCAGTGTTATGTCCAGGCACTCTGCACGACGCAGACATCGGCTTGACATTTTGAGACACTTTTGTCTTGCTAACAACACAGCATCTAATTTTCTCTCTTAGATTAGTCATTCTTCCCAAATTTCCTTCTTTTGTATAGGGATTCCCTGTGTTTCCTTCTATGGGCTTAATTCTCTCTTCACTGTAAGTGCTTGGAAGTAATTGTGCTGTCAGAGAGATTCGGTCATGTGTTTGGCTGTTTTTATTCTTCCTGCCACAGCATCTTGAGAATTGATTTTCCAGAATAACCTGTGGAGGTGAGGAAGGGAAAGAAATACCTTATTATTGGACAGAAGTCTTTGGAAGCTACAGTTAGAAGGAAATTCATATCAGAACAGGGCCTTCAATGCTGCATCAGGCATTCCCATTTAGGAGTGGTGCCAAAGGTGCTGATCCAATGTGGGAACAGTGGGGTAGGTTCAGCCATTGTGAAGAGCCCCAGAAATTGCTCTTGCTGTCTGTGCACTCGGCTCTGCAGCCCAGAAAAATGGAAAAAATCAAGTCTCTGCAAAAACAGATTTGTTTGGAAAATGATGATCAAAATATTTCCAGGCTCAGCTCATTCTTTTTGATTGCAGTGCTGTTTGGCTGGCTGCAGGATCAGGTTCCCTCTTGCTTCTTCTTAAGACAACCACAGCTACTGGCATGCTGTGTGTTGTAGACCCGGAACCCTCCATCCATGGCTGTTCTGCACGCAAGTACATGCACATGCTGGCTCAGAAAGCACGAGCAATGCAATTTAGGAAACCTTGCCCTAAGTCAGCCTGCTTCTGACAGAGCTGTGCAAAGGTGACCAAGCTTTGCCAGCTTCTTTTCCCTTCCTCCTACCACCCCATACCCAGTGCTGGCACGAGCTGGCATTTATCTGGGCCAGCAAGCCCCGACACTTCAGCTGTGTCAGCCATCCTGCAGCTCACACCATGGTGCCACAGCGATTGCTCTGCACCTGGTGGTAATTACACAGCATGCAAGTCTGAACTAGAGCATCTTTCCGAATTAGCTGCGTGGATGCTCGCAGCGTCGAACCAAAATGCAAGAAGGCTTTTTCTTCACGGCATTAAACTAAAAACAGAACTTGTATTTATTCCTAAATGAGAACATCCCGTTTAATCTAGTCTAGCACATCTGGATCAGTTGCTATGCAGGTAAGAAGAAATAGACAGAAAACAGGCAGGTGGAATTTCTTTGGACCAGAACAGTGCTTTCAGAGTATCACTGATGCTACACGTTATTTGAAGATAATTTGGCAGACACATCTGAAGGTCTGAGTGTGCCTTAAACACACCAAGCTTTCCAAATGTTTTATTTTTTCCCCATAGTTGGCAGTTCTGGGGCCTTTGGGTAATCTAAGTCTTCTCTGTACAACCAGGAAGTTTAACAAGGAATATTTTGTCCTCAGGATCCATGCCTAGTTGTCACTGTGCAGATGTGTGCAATCACCTTGGGGCTCTTGGTTTGCTATTGCCCTTCAAGTCCATCAGAGTTACAAGAAGTGGTAGCACTTCCAGCACTGAGAGCAAACTGAGGGTGAGCAAGGTTCCCCGAGTGCCACTCATGGGGGCTTCCACCTCCTTCTCAGAGTCTGAGCAGTGGATTTGGTTCCCAGATTTTTGGCAGAAGACAGAAATATAATGGGAATTATTTTGCTTCACATACTCCGCAGCTGTCTGGGTGCCTCCATAACTCACCTCCTTATCCCTAATACTTCCAATGAATGTACCCTGTCTTCCCTGGTTTATCAGCACCATTGACACTGCCAGAGGTGGTGGCACGTTCTGCTCCACTGGCAGCCCCTTTCTAGATCACATTCTCATCTCTCAGTGAACAGCTGCTCCCTTGCCAGCAATCACGTCAATGAGCATGAATTTCTCCTCTGACTCTCCGTCCTCACACACATGACACATCAGAATCAGGTCCGAGCTTGTGCCAGCTTCAGTTTGGCTTCTGAAAGTGAAGCAAGCAGCTGTCATCATCTCCCTCTGCTTCAGGCACAGTGTGAGTCCTGCACAACACCGTGGTGCAAACTCTCAGAGGTGACATTGCTGCACAGTGGACCCCAAGTGGACCAGGGAGAGCGGAGGAGTGTAAGTGTGACCCTTCAGCTCTGATAAAACCACATTTGCACAGTTATGATTCCTGAGCCCTCAAGACTGGTTTGACTTGGCTCCATCTCGTGGCTTTGTGCTGGACTCCAGAGGGTGTGCCTGTGACTGGGAGCTGAATGGTGAGTCTGGCTGGAAGACATCCAAGGGGTAACCCTGTCTTATCCCTGTGTGTAAATGCCTAAGTAAAGTCAGTAAAGCTCAGCCACAACTCATTCTGAGATGCACTGGATGCATTTGAACATAGCCACCAACACCTTGCTTGCTTTTTGTTGCCTCTTGCCCTCTTTCTGGAGATCCAACCAACTTTCCTAGAGCATTTTCCCTCAAGCTGGCATCATGAAGGGCTCACAGTGAATGAATATCCTGGAATCATAGAACCATTGAATATTATAAGTTGGAAGGGATGCATGAAGATCATCAAGTCCACATGGGACCACCCAATAATTAGACCGTCCTCCATCCATCAGGTCCATCCCTCCTTTTGGGGCTGATCCAAAAGTGTTCTGGAGCCAGGCTGTGCTCAGCACTGGGCCCTTACGTGCACACAGACAGACATGCACACTCACACTGCAGCATATCTTGCTGGCATAATACAGACCAAGTGAGATGTCTGGCCCATTCAACCTTCTTTGGCCTCTTCCCTATCGGTGCAGCATTTTAACCATTACACAGCCTTGCTGTTGACTTTGCTAGCCTTTATTCACAGTCTGGATAGATTCTATCCATTATGAATTACAGGGCTCTAATTGGCTCAAGAGCCAAGCATGCACCTCCCCCTGTAATTTAGCTTTAATTAATGATCATTTATTATTAACTGTAATCGGCTGGGCTTAAGCTTAATGTCAGCTGGTTATTACCCAGAGAGCAGCACGGATTGTTTTCATCTCCTTTATTACCCATTTCAATATTTCCCCCTCCCCTGTTGACAGATGCACACAAAATGTCTATGTCAGCATAAATGATCACCTTTAAGGAACAATGGGTCTTTCAAAGCAGCTGAAGTCAGACTACATTCTTCCTGTGCCTCTGGGTCAGCAACCTAGGCAGAGTGGACCAAGCAAAAAGCCCCTCTATTGCTACAGGAGCTACACACTTTCAGTTGTTTTTTGTTGTTGTT